AGGAGTGATGTTGGCAAGACCCACCGTTTGTTTTCGTCACTGCAGGCTTCAAAGTAAACTATGGTGACACTGCGCTGCCCAACCTTGGTCTTTCGGATGGAACAAACTTCACTAGTGCTGTGAGCGCTTTCGAAAGCCCTCGCGGACCTGTACCCACTCCGGAAATTCTGATAGCTTGTGCTCGGTATAAATCGTGCTGTTACTCCTAATAAATGTGGCAGGTGAGGAGCTCCCGCGGCCACGTGTCGGCCGAGACATCCAGATGCGTGGGCTTGGTAAGAAGCGCCACCGTCGTGCACTTGGGTTCGATGCCGGTGAGAGTGGAGATGTGAGTGAGGGTGACGAGGAGGGCAAGGAGGAAGCGTCTGATTGTGAGGAGTGATGGTGCGTAGGAGTAAAAGAAAGGGGGTTAGCTGCAAGTATTTAATCCACCTGCTGAAGTTGACAAACATAACTGGGCTGATATGTTTACCCTTTGTTCATTTCAAATAAACGGGTCAAATTCTAATGTATTATATACTCCATGTTTAATCCGCTTGAGTACGCGATGGTGTATGTGACGACATCGCTGGTGCAGAGCACTTCGCCGAGTTCATAGTCGATTTGACCAATTTCCCGCAATTCATAAAACGGTCTCGTACTTATTGCAGGCAATACAAATATCAATTGTAGGCTGGCATTAACATGGTGTATTTAGCAACATGTTAAGGACTGAACAGGGGGCATTTTTGGCCGTGAGAGTGTGGGGGAGATTATAATCGAATTCCTAACGTCACACAACGGCATCACAAGTTCCTCCACATGGAACGTGTTGTTTTGTTTGACAATGAATTTGTCCTGATGGTAATTTGAGCTTGTATCATTAGCACTTGGACAAGTTCAGCACTGATTCGATTTACAATGCTCTACGAAGCCCGATCAAGATTTCGAAGAGAAGGGTTTATCTAGTGCTCTGGAACATTTGTTTTGTGAAAATGACAAAACGAGGTGACAAAAATAGACAATTCAGCAGTATCTGATTGTGTAAGAATTACAACATTTTTAAGGCGGATTACATGCGTGGCTTTATATATCTACGGTAATATCACTTTCTAGACACGATAACTTTATAATAAAATAATTTCGACGTAGAGGCCGAATTTTGTAATTTGAGCTTCGTATACTTCTCCGGTCCTACAAATAAATAGTAGTCAGTTTTGTTTATTAAAAACATTTTATATTTGATTGGTCGACGACCTTTTTCCGACAAATGTTATTCGATAAAAATGCATCAGTAGACCGTCTATCGTCTGATTTGTATGTCAGGCTGATTGGCTGTTTTTTGAAACGATCATGAAGATTGCTTTAGGTAATATATTGCTGGAATAAGCTCTTTATCCTCTTTTTTAGGATTATTTAAGCTTGATTCTGACTATATCTGATGGTGCTGCAAGCAAAACCATCAGACCTTTATAAAGTGATCATATGAATGGCCGGTAATTGACGCTTTTGACGAGAATTTTGTTTATCTAAGGAATACTTCAGGGTAGTGCAAATAAAGAGTCTACAGCGAAACTTGTTCCAGATACATTTAGTCAGTAGAACAGAAGTTATCGCAAGTTTAGTGAGCGGTTAACATTTTAATGGACCGGAGAAGAACGCAACTTGGGCCTCCCAGTGACAAAGCAAAATACTTGAAAATTAGTGGCTTGTCAGCTAGACATACGCCATAATAACTCCTTTGTGGTGGCCGAAACGTTTTGTCTGCTGTTTTGGCAATAAATTTAGGATTCAAAACGTGACATATCACAAAAAAATAAGCGTAGGTATTTTAGTACGAAGCCTAGCCATACAAACCAGTTTTCTTAAAAAAATACAAAATCTTAGCCTGCAAAGCGTTATTCTCTATGTTAGACCCATTGTAGCGCCTACTACAGTGGCCTTGTTAAATTTACTTCACCAGTGGACTCATCCAGACATAGCACCAAAACCACTAAACGCCCCCCCCATCTCTAGTGGTAACGCAGCTACGCACGTTCTACTGACTGCCGAGCGGAGCGAAGGCGGCCCTAATCAGGGTTGCTCAAAATATGATTTATATGGATTTCTTCGTTTAATGAGAATAAATACCTGCATGGTAGATCGGAAATCTGCAAATAAATAATTTGTGCTGCGACTGTGGCAAATAAGTATTTGTATCAAAACATGATCGTGTTACTAGATTAATGGTTTTGGGGAAAACATGCTCCTCGAGTGCTGGGAAGGCATCAGGGAAGCGTCGGACATGGCGAAGGTTGCGAGAGTTGGTAGTTTGGGCTGTGTGCGAATTGAAAAGTGAGTTTGACTCGGCGGCACAAGTTTGCAGACAGCTCAGAGCCAACGAAAATCTGGTGGCTGACAATAAATTTCGTGTAGGAATTCATAAAATCCAAAAATAAATTTTCAAGCTGTGGCCAGACCATAAGTAAACTATTTCTCAATGAAAAAAAATATATTTTCAGTAAATATATTTTTGAGGATCCCTGACCCTAATTGACTATACAGTACATGTAATCTGTGGTGTAATATAATGGTTTTTTTTAGGGTTTCTTTGAAATGACGTACCCTAGTTTTGGTACAGGTCTGATAAAGTCGGTGGTCGATTATTTTATGGTACCATTTGGAAGGCAGACTCAAGTGCGATGCAGAATGTGCTGCGGCCAGGAAGTCGCGAGTTCGTGATCGTGCTGAATGTGGTGCTGGCGCTGCTGTTCTTCGTGATGCTGGCAGTCATCTACACGGAGCTGGAGGACTCGTTCCATGTGTTCGTGCTGCTTTTCCTTGTCGTGGGACTCACAGTCTCCATCAACTGGTTCATCATCGAGGCACGGAGAACAATCAACAAAAAAGAATAATGAAAACGAAAGCGAAACCGCCGCAGACAGTGACAATGAAGGTGTCCAGGTTCCTATGGGAGGTCTTGGAGCAATATTTTTCTTTGAGAAATTGCCTTTCCGCAATGCCGACCAAACTCCGCAAGTGGATATAAACGAGACCCAGCTGCGGAATTTAATAAGAAACACAGAAATGCTTTTCGATCACAAAGAGGCTCAAGCTGGACGTATCTACATGTATCTATCAGATTTTATATCTAACAGATACATGTAGATACGTCCCGCTTGAGCGCTCATATCAATGTTATCGTGGCGAAGGTGAAAAAAATCTGAATGACGAGCTACAGACCAAGAGTGACTTGGTGATGGTCGGATATCTCCACCAAGCGCTTGGTGGTCCCTTCTCGGGAGACGCCGACGCAAGATTCTTCCAGTATCTGATGCGATGCTGTTCGAGTTACTACAGCGGACCTGTACGTGACGATAATACAGAGCGCTGGCTTCGGGAAGAGTAGAATCTGTACGAGGTCGCGAAAAAGCCCGCTGGCCCCACGATGGATCTGCTAGAAGGTGAACTATCCGATGCTCGGTTCCTGTACGTCTGCGGACGGAACATCAAGCAACCGTCCAACTTTTCGGCAGCTACCCCGCATCTCTTCTCATTCTTCTTCGAATGCCCAAACATCGCTGATCGTTTGATTAATGCGCTGGAATGATTGTGCTTGAATTGAGAGTCGACGAAGAATGTCTAGCTCGACCTGTTCGGTATGGACGCTGTGGTCGACATGAACACACAGACGACGCCAGCTACTCAGCAAAATATTTGTCGTAACCGACTTTTTTCCACCGATTTTCGACAACTCTTTGGCATCAGCTTTGAGGAATGTGGCTAGTGGAAATCCCAATCTCGGCCAGTCACCTCACAAAAAGTGCGGACGTTGAGGGGAGGTCAGGACGTGAAAATGTTGCTTTCGGCTTTTGATAAGCCTGGGTCCTTACTTGCGAGGAAGGATGAAAACGGAATCGATTACTTGCATCTCTTGTGCAGAGCGCTAACGAACGTAAACCGTAATCTACGCGGGGAAGAGCTCAAGATGATACTCTCAGATTCACGATACTCCCTCGACTGAGAGACGACCTTGTTCCCACCGATCGTAATCACTCACACGATGGGCGTTGTGCTGCTGAACCAAAACCAACGGGGTCTTCCGTTTGACTACAAGGCAAGTGCTCTTGGAATGGTCAACTGGCATAGCTGCTCCACTACAGATTCGAAAGCACCCCATGACTTCTCACTCTTGCTGTACTTGGTGGTGAAAGCGGGGATGCCGAATGATAATTGGCGCCGCAATTATTGCAATAAGAAAGCACCAATTATTTATTGGTGGCTTTCTGGAGAGAAAGACCAACTATTTGTTTTCGCTCCCGTCGTACAGTGGGTACAGAAAGTCTACATCCAACGTCTCCTTGAGCACGTTGGCCCACGGCGTTTGGTCCCTGACGGTATTTAGAATGGTTACTATGCATGATATGAATGCCTGACGTGAAGGCTTTCCAACAAACTATCATTTGACCAGGTTGACAGAAGCTGGTAGAAGTTGAGCCCACTCAAACAAAAAAGAAGTAAAATTATGGCAAAAAAAGTGAAAGTCTATTTTGTTATTCTCAACTTTTAAGAGCTGCTGTTAACAATTTTGCATTCCATGTTGTAGTAGTAGCCATACGAACACTATCTGAAGCTTTCACGCACCTTGTGTACATGTAGCACCAATAATCTGTTCAATCAGCCTTTACATTCTTTAGTGCACTGTGTACCAATATTGCTCCGATAATCTATTCTCTGAGTTGAGGAAGCTCAATAATTTATTTTGGTCTAGCCAGTTCCTTAACCCAATTACTTTCGATTAGCAATTGATAAAAATGCAAAGTCTCTTAAAAAAACAGCCATGGTATCGTCACCCTGCAAGGTGTACAATTGGGTCCGCAATCAAGCCCAATATTTGCCTCCCGGGCCGTGGCGGACTTAACGTTAGATAACAACAAGCAAGCACTGGAGAAAAAAGGGCAGAAAAAGTAAGCACTTTTGGTATGAAAAGGGGTCATGTAGAATTGTACGTTGACTCTGTAACTCGACACAAGCCTAGACGTTTAGAAGACGGCGATGAGCACAAAGCACGCATACACCAGCATCGTTGGGTACATGACGAGGTATTTCTGCTCGGTCATGTACAGCGCCTTCTCAAAGAACCGCGACGCCGTGTGAGTGCTCCAGAGTGTGCATACACTAGCCAGCAAGAAGCCGGCAATGCCCAAATCCTTGACCGACACCACGATGTTGATCGCTGCCAGGCCGATGATCGGCAACAGGCAGTAGCCAAGCACCGAGCACACGCGGTAGATGTCGATAGTCCGCTCGGGCGACAGTAAGTTCATCAGCAAGTACATGAAGAGACACGACAGCACTCCGAAGCCGTAAATGTATCCAAAATGAACCTTAGCAGCCTACAAGAGACAATAAAAAAAAAAAATAAGTTCAAAGCCGCAGCAAATACTAGTAAGAAAAGTTAGCGTACCAGTAGCAGACAAACGCCGAAGAGGAAGCAGAAGACGAGCGGTCCTGCAAGATCCGCGTCGTCTAGAATGTGCTCATTAATCTGCTTGGTAGGGAGCAGCACAGACACCGTCTTGGCCCAAATGTGGTCGAAGTTGATGCCCAGTTCTGCGTATTCAAATAAGAAAACACCAATCTTAAGTAAAAAAAAATACTTGGAGATAAATATGCAATCACTCGTCACCTTCCAGAAGCGGTGGCTCGTTGGCGAACTCGTCGTCGCCGCCGTCGTCATCATAATAGCCGGCGTTGGAGCCGACGGTCCCGCTGAGACCATTGGACGAGCCTGGCGCCGGAGAAAAGCCTGCTCCGCTGTTGTTGCTGTTCGGGTGTGTGGGCTGCGCGTTCATGGGCGGGTACTCGCCCTCTGGAGCCGTGAACCACGGGCTCATGGCGTTCGGATCCATATTCATGTTCATTTCTGGTCTACGTGGACAGAGACCAATGTGGTCCACGCGAACTAGCACACGTCGCAGATCCGTTGACTATTTTAATAAGTTAAATTCATAAATATAAAATTTTAAAATAGAGGCTTTTCAGTAATCCATGCACATGTATTTAAAATTTCACTGATCTCGTAAGTAGATGGTGATGTTTTTCTTACGTATCGCTTGCATGAAACCGATACTGTACTAATGGTCAAAAGTGTCAGTGCTTTATATTTAAATTATCGGGCACATGCACAGATAGACAAGATCTATTTTATAGAATTAAAGATAAATTTAAAGTTTTAAATGATGGTCATATATGTATATTCGAAAAAAAAATCACGAAGCAAAAAAAAACGAAATAAAAAGCTGTAGCAGTTAATATTGCTTTTCGGTTTATAAGTACTGTACGGAAACAATTCTCGAAATCAAATCTTTTTTTTCAGCAACTTTATCAGCTGCCGTTCCAAAACCGAATAATAGGCAGTAACGCTCCGAAACAGTAGCGAACACCGTGAAAGAAAAGTTTGGTGTGAAATAACAAAGCAGCCAGACCAAGCGAAACATACCAAGACATTCCCAATACTTAGGTGAGAAACAGTAGACGTTTGACACAGCCTGTACGATTACGCTTAGATAGAATTACATGTACCATGATAAACTGATTCGATTATGGAAATGACTGGATAACCGATTATCCGACACGAGTACGCACTGCAAGAAGCAATCGTCTACAGAATACAACTATATCTAACAGACTTGGTAGTTAGTGTGCTCATATATACAATGGGACTTTTTCCTTAGCTGTCACATATAGCTTGTAGTCTTCTCCCTCACGGTATTCGACCTCTGTGCTGGGAGCTCGCTTCATTCTCTCCCTGTCCTCAGTGACCACAGCTCGGAGCTCCGACCTTGAGGGCGTTGCTCCTGGGTCAGCAAAACTGGCGTGAGGGATAGATGGAGCTTGTTTGCGGTAGTTCTGTAAAGTACGAATGCTTGGCAACAGAGGGAAAACTTTGCGCTCATGGTAGTGCTGGCGTCGGAGGCAGCGTTCTGCGGATAAATCTGGTTCTCTTGAGTATGACGTTTCAAAGGAAGAGAACCTTTCGTTGGCGTTTAAAAGTGCTGAAAAGCCCGGAGCTCGGGGCGAGCTACCTGTTGGAATCTCATGATCGACCGATCTGACAGGAGATGGTGTCGCTATGTCCTTGTACAAGTGTGCACTTGGTACACGAGGCTCCGACGATGATTTCCTTGTGGCTTCACACCCTTTTAGTCTGCTGCTCCAGTGAGCCTTATTCACCCGGTCTTCACCATACTGGGTTGTCCTTGTTAGCCCATTGGCCGCCGCTGGCTGCATCGATACGTCAGCTTTATGCTCGGAGCACATTCCTCCACGTACAGCACGCTTGAAACAATACTCGAGGAGGCAAATCGAGGATCCTCCATGGTGCTGACAATAATCGTTTGCCATCGACCGTTTGTTGCAGTTGTCAAAGACACATCTGCGGTAGCCACCGTGGCCCACACAGAGTCCTTCGTACTGCACGACTTTGTTGCATCTGTCGATACGACAGCGCTTGCCTCCTCCTGAAAAATAAAATTTAGCATAAAGAGATCATCTTTCGCTGTCAGATGGACGAAGTTTTTTTTTACCGTGGGCAATACAGGCTCCACCACTCTGTGCACGCTTGGAGCAACCGTGATAGCCGCACTTCTTGCCCCCGCCGTGGACCCAGCAGAACCCTCCCGACTGAGCACTCTTGGTGCACCCCTGGGTCTGACATCGCTTGCCACCGCCGTGTGCCACACAAAGTCCTCGACTAACTACACTCGTACTACAGCCATCCACCGCACACTTGTTCCCACCCCCGTGAGAGATGCAGCGTCCACCTCGCTTAGCAGTTTTCTGACAGCCTGGGACACTGCATCTCCTCGAGTTGGGCTTTGCATTGGCACCCGACAACGTTGTTTCGTTGTGATTTTGTCTTTCACCCGTGTCAGAGCTGAGTAAATACTCGAGCGACGCCATGGCAACGACACTTGTGGACTTCAAAGAAAAATAGCGTGTGAGGTCGGTAGAGCGGTGCTGTGTACACAGCTCCAAAAGGACGAGCGTGTGGGACAATGGTCATCCGAAAGCCACCTCGCTGAGTGTGGTGGGAGAAGGTGAAACGAAGGGCCCGTTGATAAGTTTCTCAACGTAAGAATAACGAACGAGTCCCCGGAATGAGGGCGCTTTGAGTGCTATTTCCATTAGGACGACGAGTGTTTTGGACGTAGTTGTTGTGCCCAGTACTCGCTCGAAATGCCTACCTAGTCGTGCACATAATTTTTCAACAAATTGATCCATCTCGATGATTCTACTTCTGCTTTTTGTTTTTTTTTCTTGGTTTAATGGCGCAACGGGAGAGCTGTAAGCCGACGTCTTCCACCACGTAGAGTTTGTTGAGGAACTGTACCGCTTGCTTGATTTCATTTCCGCTGGTTGCGGCCTCGGTAACGGACTTCTTTTGTTGGGCCAACCACAACGTTTCGAAAATTGTTCACAGACGACCACCACTTTCTCTGCGTCCCAAGCCAAGGAACCCAATGAAAATAGTACTATGCTCGGTGTAAACCAAGGGCGTTTTCCCTTTTTCTTTTACCATCTCATGCTTAATCGGTCTTAGAAAAGATGAAAAAAAAGCATTCTTCTTCTCTCCTCGGCGACTTCGGACGACGTAGTTGTGGTCAGATACTCGACTTCTGGCCTTCGCTCGCGAGCTATCTGAAGTTTTGATTCCGGTTGACTCCGTTACAGAGCGTTGCGTACAGTATTAGTTGCGCTATGGTGCTGTGCTGTGTCCAAGTACTGTGCACGTAGAAGTACTATACTGTCCACTTGCCATAGATGGGTGCTTCACTAGCAAAGGCCCTTCTCCATTCAAATTCAATTTTTTAGCTAGACGATCACCTGGTGTATGGTGAGCCTCGTATCTTGATGTCCAGACGTTAAAAGTCTGAGTTGTAGTGCGGTATCTACCGCCGACGAGAGACGACGACAAGTGCCACCGTGGTGACAGCAGCGGCCACAGCCGCATAGGTCACGATCTCGTCCGACACTCCCAGCCATTGAGCCAGAGCGCTCGGGGTCGTGGGGGACGCGAACTTGACCTTCCTGCCTTTAGCCTTGGCGATGCTGTTCTCAATGTCTCGCTGGATCATCTTAGCTGCAATCGGGTGATATAGATGCTTACAGTCCGCAAAGATTGCCTCGGCCTGTGCAGGACCCAGCGCTGTGCACAGGTCGCGGAAGAGCGGACGTACGAACTTCATCCGACCCTGTTCCTTCAGCATCTCCACAGTCCTGTCAAGCACACGCAGGTCGCCCGCACGAAGCAACACAGTGTACCACCGGAATCGCAGCTCCGAGTTGTGTGTGGTCGTCAAGTGGTGCTGCGTGAACGAGTCGATCGCGTCCAAGTGGGCCGGCGTCAAGCGCGCGTGCTCCTGTCTCAGTAGCAGCGTGTCCAGCAGCAAGATCCACAGACTGGCGGGCCACTTCGTCAGCACATCCTGCGCGACGCTCGTCCACGTGTCCGCGTTGCTACTCGCCGTCATCTGCTCGCCCAACTTGGTCGCTTGGCTCGTCAACGTCGTGTCGAACTTGTTGGCCACAGGCGGCATGCCAGGCGAGTGGTACCAGGCCTCCCAGTCGATCGCACGAAGCGCCTCCTGCTTGTCGGCAAAGTATTTCTCAAAGAACGCACGGAAGTCGCTCGACGTGAGCGTCTTGAACTTGAACTCCTGGATGTAAGCCTTGGCGAACGTATCGAACACTTGGTGCCCACCGACGACCGTTGACAGATAGTGTAGGAAATTAAAGCCTTTTTCATACGGAATCGAGGAAAACACCTCGTCCGGGTCGACGCCGTCCGTGTCGGGCACCAGCGCCGTGTACGGATGGGTGGGGCCGAACTCCTCCACTGACTCGATGAGGTCGCGTAGACCCATCGCAGCCTTGAGGTCGTACGCCTTGGGGTCCTGTGCGATGCGCGTCTGGATCTTCCGCTCCAGCCACATGGTCCAGCCCTCGTTGAGCCAGAAATCGGTCCACGAGCGGTTCGTCACGAGGTTCCCCGTCCACGAGTGCGAGATCTCGTGCGCCACCACGTCAGCAAGCGAGCGGTCTCCGGCCAACAGCGTGGGGGTCACAAACGTCAAGCAAGGATTCTCCATGCCTCCGTACGGGAAAGAAGGGGGCAGACACACGAGATCGTATCGCTTCCACACATACTCCTGGCCTGTGATCTCCTCGGCGTGTTGCAAGAACGCCTCCGTCTGCGCAAACTCGTGGGCAGCTTTCGTCACCACCGTAGGCTCCGCCCACACGCGACTACGTGGCCCCAAGTCCACACTCTCCAGTTTACCGGCCACGATGGCCAGTAGATAGGAAGGAATGGGCACGGACTGCTGGAATGAGACTTGGTAGGTAGCGTCCATAGTGTTGTGGTTCTTGCGGCCCTGCGGGTCTGCTATGGCGCTCATCAGACACGTGCACCAGTCCGGCACCGTGACTGTGGCCGAGTACGTGAATTTACACGCCGGCGTGTCCGGACACGGCACGATGGTGCGTGCGTGGATGGCCTGGCACTGCGTGAAGAGATACGGGTGCGTCTTGCCGGCTGTGAGCTCCTTGCTGAGCCACTGCAGGCCGCTGGAGGCGTCGGATGTGGTGTAATCCACACGGATCTTCGTGGCGTGGCTGGGCACGGACACCACGAGTGCGCGGCCGAATACCGGGTGCTCCTTCTCGGCCAGAGCGAAGGGCGTCTCCTTGCCGTCTGCATAGACTTTGGAGACGCTCAAATGGTGCGTGTCCAGCACCACAACGGAGGACGTGGCGGTCGAGGCGTGGTGGAACGTGTACTCGGCGTATCCCTTGAGTTGCTGGGCTGCGAAGTCCAGCGCAATGACCCAATTGAGATGCGTGAACGTCACCTCGTCCAGGTTCGAGTACGAATGCGAGCGAAGGGGGCGCTCTTGATCCATTTTCACTTGCGATTTAGTGGGGATATTGAACAGGGAGTATTGACGAATGAGAGCTGTGATGTGTGTCCAGAGATCCGCACAAGTTATTGTGGAGGGGAAAGTGGGATTAGTGACATCGGAAACGATTTACAGAGCGTAAAAGTGTCGCATAGTCGAAAAAGAGTAGGGATTCAGGAAACGCGCTGTTCGTCTACATGGCCTGTGGTTTGGTTCCTTTTAGGGGGATGATAGTCTGCTGCGGCTTCGTTTTGTCTGCTAGCAGCGCTAGTCCACACGTACGGCGATAACATATCAGCAACCAATTGGAAATGGCCGATTGCATACTGTGCACCTTACTTTCAAAACAAAGTTTAAATTTCATTACTATAAGCTACTTTAAGGTAAGAAGATATTAATACATGTAAATCGGTGGTATTTAGAGCTATCTTAAGCTTGAAGATAAATCGGAGGCATGGGGTGCCATAATGTGCAATTTCTTGTGTGGTGCAGCGTGCCTGTGTGTGTGTAGTAGGTTTTGTGGTCTGGGTGTGATTTTGTCAGCCTTTGCTAATTCTTTGTCTGTTTTAAATGTGCTCTCAAAATTTAGGTTGGCTTTTTAAAGCGTACCATTTAGAAGGTACACTTGGCTTGGCTACGGGATCGAATAACCGTAGGCACACGGTCCTCACCAATCAAATTCCATTTATCCTCTTCCTATTGGCCAAAACACTTTTGACCAATCCTCTGCCATTATCGAATTGGTCTGGAGGCGGACAGCCAAGCATTATCATCTTCTCAGGCAGGAAGAGCGACGTCCGCTTCTCTCCATCCCGAGGCCCCGTTCAAGCACCTGCGCAAGTTGTGCGTGTGTGCCTCCATCATCTCCTCCACCGCAAGCGTTGAATTTGTCAATAGAAACCTCGTGCACAGCTCAGCATCATGACAGAAGCGCAGCCAGAGAACCGCGCCACATTGGACGCCAAGACGAAGCTCGACGCTGCCGGCAGCTCCTCCAAGCTGCGTCCTACTGCCAAAGAGTTCGTATTTAACACAGCGGCTCCTGTATGGACGCCCTCGTTTGTGGCGTCACCGCCGCCCGCTCCTGTCGCCCCTGCCGCTCCTCCCGCCCCTGCCGCTCCTCCCGCGCCTGCCGCGAAGAAGAGCCAGCTCAAACTCACAGCCAAGCCCTTCGTGCCGTCTTGTACGCAAACAACTGCGATGATACGTACACAAAGAGTATGTACTAACTTTATTTAACATGTTGCTACTCTAGTTATGGCCCCAGCGTTCGTGCCTGCATCGCTGAAGACGCCCGAAGTGGAGAACGTGGAGACGGTCAAGGAGACGGAAGTGACGACGCCCACGTCAGAGCCTGTGTCGACACCTGCGACGTCAGCGGCTTCTTCCAATGCGTCGGAGCCTGAGACGGAGAAGGAGGAGAAGCTCGAGGAGGCCTCGGAGCGAGAGGAGAAGCAGAAACAGGACGTGGATGTCCAGGAGGTCGTCGAGGAAGCGACCGCCGAGCCTGAGGCCGAGAAACCCGAGGTTGTGGCCGAGCAGGCGGTGATCGGAGCGCGTATTATCTACACTATCAAGCAGCTGCTAGAGATGGAGCCGGACGTGGAGCTGTGCGTCATCCCGGAGCGTGTCAAGGGTATGGTGATCGCTGCCGACAAGACCACGAAGGCGCTATCGGCCCCTGCGCCTGAAGTCCCGGGTAAAGGCATGCGTCGTAATGACTCGTCTCGCTCTCTGGGGCGTCACGGCAGCAGCGGCAACTTCAGTGAAGGACGCGGACGTCGGGAACGTGGCGGTGGACGTGGAGGACGCGGCGGACGTGGCCATCACGACACTGCACCCGCACTGGAAGACTGCGCGCCTCTGGATATCAACGAGGAGACGCGCTGGAAGCCTTCGCACGCCAAGTCGCGTCTGGACGATCCTGTGGAGACCGCCGAGGCGTCTCTGAAGGAAGCCAAGTCGATTCTGAACAAGCTGTCGATTGAGAAGTTCGACAAGCTGTCGGATCAGCTGATTGAGGTGGCTGTGCGAGGCTTGGAGGTGCTCAAGGGCGTGATCGAGATGGTGATTGCCAAGGCGCAGATGGAGTGGCACTTCGCCACCATGTACGCGGAGCTGTGCGCCAAGATCGCGCAGACGGCCATGCCGGCGATCACTCTGGAGGAGGGACAAGTGGCGACGGACACGCATAAACTGTTCCGGAAGCTGCTGCTGCAACGCTGTCAGAAGGAGTTCGAGGCCAAGCCGGAGCTCGAAGGGCTAGAGACGCTATCCGAAAACGAGCGACGCGAGAAGGAGCTCATCATGAAGCGCGCGTCGCTGGGCCACATCCGCTTCGTGGGCGAGCTCTTCAAGCAGCGGATGCTGAGCTCGCGCATCATGCACGAGTGCGTCGGCATCCTGTTTGGAGACACCGCAGCGCCTGACGAGGAATCGCTCGAGTGTCTGTGCAACTTGCTGAGTACCATCGGCCGGGCGCTTGAAGCCAATGCGAGAGAGAAGGCCGAGTTGAACCACATCAACGGATACTACGCGACTATCAAGAAGCTCAGTGGCGAGTCCACGCTGTTGTGTACGCGTGTGCGCTTCATGCTGCAGGATCTGCTGGAGCTGCGCACAAACCGCTGGGTGGCTCGTCGTAAGGAGACGAAGGCCATGACGATCGCTGAGGTGCACGCGGAAGTCGCTCGCGAGGCCAAGGAGAAGGAACGATCCAGTACCACCAAGTCTGGCGGCCACGCGCGTCTACAGCGCAGTCAGTCGATGAACTTCACTGGCTCCGCGGGCTCGAACGACCGCCGACGTGGCAGTGGCGGAGGCGCGTCGGCGGCCTGGAAGGCTCGCACGTCGGCGTCTTCTACAGCTCCGTCTAGCGCCCCCACAGTGGACGCTGATGGCTGGGAGACGGTGACGGGTGGAGCACGTCCCAAGGGGCTGAAGCACCGCAGTAACTCGGACCGCTTCCCATCGCCCGCGTCCTCGGGTGGACTGCCTCGTCACCCAAGCGGCACTCGCTTGAGTAGCAACAACACGTTCGCGTCTCTGAGCGGCAAGGACGCCACACGCAAGGAGCGCGGCCGCAGCAACAGCTCGTCGTCATCGTCTTCGCGCTCTTCGCGCGGACGGGAAGACGCTGGACGTCCACCGACGCCCTCATCCACCAAGTCGAGCAATGACCGCTCTGACAAGCCTGAGAAAACTGCGGAGACGGAGACTGCAGCCCCGACACTGACGGCTGAGGCGTTCGAGAAGAAGGTGAAGGCTATTCTGGACGAGTATGTGGAGCTGGAGGATTTGGAGGAGGCGCACGCGAGCTTCACGGAGCTCAACGCGTCGAGCCACTACGCTCTGATCCCCAACAAGGTGCTGAATATTGGTCTAGAAAAGGGCGACAAGGAGCGCGAGGCCATTGCGAGCTTCCTGGCTGGTCTGTATGACCGCAAGGTGGTGACGAGTGCAGCTCTGGAGAGCGCGCTGCAGGACGTGCTCGAGTTCGCCGAGGACATCGAGATCGACATCCCCAAGACGCTCCCGTACTTGAGCGAGATGGTGGCGCCGTCGGTGGTGGCGGGCAGCATCACGATCCCGCAGCTTGTGACGATGACGGAGCATCTGCGCTACAACGGCAAGGCCGCCAAGCTCATCGGAGCGACGCTGGCGGCTGTGGTGTCGTGCGAGGACGAAGCGAAGGTGCAGGAGCTGCTGGCCGCGGAAAGCGTCGACTTCATGGCGCTGCTGGCCGAGGCGAACCGCAACGAGGAGGCCGTGCAGACCTTCTACCAGGACTACGCGCTGGGGTTCCTCATGTAAACACACCCACAGAGTTGTGTGTGTTTCCTGCTTCGCTCCATGATTTATTGGGATGGATATAGGTAGATTTGACATTCACGGACAGGAAAATAGAGCGCACGTGACGTTCGTTGAAGTTTTGTGGTCCAGCGTGACTCAGTAGGTTACATGTATGAAGGATACCAGTGTATAAGTTGTCAGCTAGCAATGGTTCATTTCTACTATGTAATGTATCATTGAATGAAGAGCTGGAGCTATTAATGGATACTATTTCTCACAGGCTGTTTTTTTTCTAAACTTGTCACTTTGACTCACTTCCAAACCGTTTTTATTAAAGCTCCTCGGAATCGCCTCCGTCCATCATCTCATGGCTTCTTCGCTGCCAGCCCAAGCTTCGTGTCTACAAGACCAGCGCTACACAGATGGCCACTTCCTCAACGCGCGTGGTCAGAAGCTTTTCTACTGCGCCGCCTTCCCACCCGAATCGGTGCCTCTCCGTGGCGTGGCGCTCTTCCTGCACGGTATGGGAGAGCACTCGCTGCGCTTCACGCACGTGTACCGACACTTGTGCCTCAATGGCTACGGAGTGATTGCGTATGACATGCTGGGTCACGGCCAGAGTGAAAGTGAGAAGCCCGGGCTACGCGCACACGGCTCCGAGTTCCAGTACTTCGTGGACGACACGAACCAGTTCGTCACGGCCGCTAAGCTCGCTGTATACAGCAAGATGCTACCGGAAGGAGCTTCTGACCCCCCATTAGTCATCATCAGCATCTCGTTCGGAGCTCTGGTGGCTCTTAACACGATTCTATCGGGGAAACATCACTTCAGCGGCTGCGTAGTGGCCTCTCCAGCCATCGCCGTCGAGTACACGCTCACTCTCCGTCTGATGGAGCTCGTCGCCAGACCGCTGGTGTGGCTGTTCCCCGAGTCGAGGTTAGTGGCAGGAGTCAACTTTGCGGGCTTGACACGAGACCCAGAGTTCCTAAAGGACTATATGGCGGACCCGCTCAATGTCACGGACAATCTGACCACCCTCATGGCGGTGCAGGTCAGTCTGGGCATGAAGCAGTTGCAGGAGAGCGACCAGATTCTAGATGCCAACAGTACATTCTGCAACGTACCGCTGTTGGTGCTGCAAGGGACAGAGGACAAGGTCACGAGTGTGAAGATCGTGGAGGATTTCATGACTCGTGCTGCGAATAAGGTCAAAGAGCTCAAGCTCTTCCCGAATCTCTTCCACTGTCTTTGGAACGAACCGGAGAAGCAGCAGGTGATGGACTACGCGAGTGACTGGCTCAACAAGCGATTCATCGCAGAGTCGACCTTAAAAAGCGCCTCAAAGCTTTGAGAGAACGACGTAGCGACGTCTGATACAGCCATAAAACGACGCTAGATCTTGTAATTAACCGGTTTATTACATGTAGTTTATCCTTTAACCAGCCCTTCCTTGCGGAGCTTTGATACTATACAATTTGTCACGTTGTACTTAAACTTCACGGCGGGCAGTCGATGAAGATGATCGAAGGGTGCGAATCCGGCGTGAGTGGGAACGTGTGTTCTGTCTGTGGACTTCGACCGTGCGGGTCTCGGCTCGAGCCGAAGCCAAAATGTCTGGAATGCACGTGTCGTGGTGACGAGGACGTGTGCACGGGCTGCGGGGACCCTGTCGGCGTCGAGTTGCAGCTCCGTCTTGCGGCTTCGCTGTGCTTGGGCTGGTAGGAGAGACCGTGGATCGTGAACCGACGACGAGTCTTGGTCTGGTACGAGATGCGACGCTGCTCCTCCGCAGCGACAGCGGCAGCCGCGTCAAGTTGGTGCTGTGCGGATCCACCCAAGCCGACCGTGAAACGCAGGCCGTGACCTTGCGAGTGGGATCGACGAGACCACAGCTTGGCGTGTTTGGTCTTCTGCTTGGTGGTGGACGTCTCCGTTGTTGACCAAGTGGCTTCATCTTCGGTACTGCTAGTGCTGCTGCGACGATGACTGCGGAACCACTTCAACGGCATGATACGAGCTTGTTCTGGAGCGTAGAGAGGCTTGCGATCTTGTTGACCGATTTGAGAATGAAACTTGCTGGTGTGCCGGATATAAGGCCTCCCAATCGATCGCCATTCTCTGACACATCGCTCGGAGCTTATTCTTCGAGCTCTGTCCAGAGCTCTCCGAACTTTGTGGCCGACAGTGTTTGCCACAACAAGCGAAGCAAGACGCTTTGCTGACGTGGGCTTTTCCATTCACGGCTGTTTCAGCTTTCTTCGGAGCTTTTTTTTTCAATGCAGCGTTTCAAGTCGAAAATCTCCATCGAAACTTTGCCAGCTGAACACGTCGAGAAATCCGTGAGGAAAATTGTTTGGCAATGAAACGTTACTCTCGAGTGACAAAGCTTGATCCACTAGTTGCGAAGAAACACTGTTGTGAGGCAAATAAAAATCCGCTTTCATTCTGACATGAGCAAAATTTTCAGCTGAGGAAGCAGGCAAGCTATTAATATGCTCCAAATTTTCCCTTTACTGTTTCAATTTCCATATTATTTGTGTCCGATATCCTTCGCACAGTGAAACGAACTTACCGCTACAGACCAATCGCAATAAAAAATCTTTGTTCTGTCTGTAGCTACAGTAAAGAAGCATAGCAAAACAAAGCCGATGTGGAAAGCCTCGCTTCACCGAGTTCTGCTTTTTTCAACGTGGGCGTTTTTACCGAAATGGCTGCACCAAAGGGATCGCACCAAATGCTGGACCATCGGCCTCCTACGTCCCAGGCTCTGCGTCGTGCCTGCCAGCTAAATAGCTCTTAAAAGATCTATCCGTGCAGTCAAATAAAGTGTGCGTCAGTGCAATGAAGCTCTCGACACTTGTCTTCTATTTTAAGGTTTTTCGGGCAAGTCACTCGGGTACAGAGTCCGCTGTAATCAACAGATACTTGGTCACTCGGCATTTGTGAGACCGCAACTATCTTACATCCGAACAGTCCTCAAGGCGTCACGCTTAGACAAGTGGTACGCCGGACTCACCACCATCTTAGTCCACTGACCACTTGTGATCCTGCCAGGGAACCCGAAAAAATAATATGCGTAAAAATTAATCCTAATTTTTTAGTTTAATTATTAATTTATGGCTGTCAACAACGGGAATAACCCCAATTTTGAGTAAGGTCTAGTCAAGTTACAGCGTGGGGGCGCTCTGAACGTCGCGGAAAAATTAGCCTGCGCTGAATTTAGGTCGCCTGATCTCGAATGGTCGTCTTCAAGAGCCGCCGAAGAGCGTTCTATTGTGAGAGCGGCGTTCAAGAAACGCAATTGCGCACTACGTCGACGTCGCGTACATCCCGCCAACGTCTAACGAGTGTGAGCGCTTCTTCTCTCTCGCTAAGCTGGTGCTGTCTGATCTACGGAAGCGAATGTCTCCAGCCAGGCTTGAGATGATAATGTTTCTGAACTACAATCGTGACTTGCGAAGTTTTGCAAATAATTGAATTATTAATTTTCTCAGCTCACATCGATGTATTAATCTAAGTATTGCATTTTCGGGTTCCCTGGTTGGACTTGATTTGGGCAGGATCATCCTGCCCAAATCGAGTCCAAAGGTAAAGTGGTAGAGATTGCAGGCGTCGTTTGGTCTTCGAGTACGCCACCACTTTCTGCTATGATCTGCCGTGCTCTCGTCTTCGTACGTCTCCTTCAAACGTGGAAGCTCCCCGTACCTATGCTCGTCAGCCAGAATTTCAAACGTAACTAAGGAGGTCAGTATAATATATTATGTACAAGCAGTTCTAGAAAAACTCAACCCTGTTACACCACCGACATCGAGCTTCAATTGCTAATCTAGCGACTCTAGACCGGTGAGGGTAATAATGCCAAAAGAGAATTTAAGTTCCAAGACGTGGTGTGGAATAAAGCGAGACGGCAACATTTTGCTACGGAGAATGATACGAAGTTCTCAGATTCCTAACGGGACAACGGACCTTTGCCGGTTTATCAAAATGGAGAAGATCGTATTGAGCTATCGCCACCTCCAGTGAAATTGTAGAGCGAAATTGGATAAGAGTATTGCGTTTACAGTATGTAAGTCTTTTGTCACAATGCAAGGCTCGTAACGGGTAAAAGAACACGCGATAGCTTGTCTTTCATGACCAAGTGCTGGCAGAAGGTTTAATCGCGGGGGTCTAGCTCCAAAGTCCCAATACCCCGGTGCGTTGATCGAGGGCAGCGTCACAACGTCACGTCGAACGAGTGTAATGGCACTGAGAGGGACTTTCATTTCAGCCAGCAGCGTGGAAACCACCCAAGACGTCGAAACGCCCTGGAGACAGAATTGTTTAATGGAGGACAAACGTTCGTCTTCATTGGCTGGGATCGGGCTAGATAATCAGTTATCTATGTCTGTTTCAACTACTCCTCTTCGTTCAGGTTCAAGGCTGGCAACATCAGCTGGAGCGATAGATCATTCTCGAAGGTGTGTGGACGTGTAACGTTAGACACGGAGCCGGAATGAAGTCATCGTCGAAGAAACCCTCCAATGGAGGATATGTTGAAGATGCTCGCCACCTCCTCAATACTGACATTCAGCTGAACACTACGTTGTCTATTAGTGTACGTCCAGGTGCTTCCATTGCGCTTGATCACTTCGGAAGAGCAACAGTTGTGAGGACTCAGCAATGACGGCGTCATTAAAAGCCCTAGTGTCGACTACTAAGCTTTGCAGCGCGATGATCAATGGCGGTGGAGAAGTATCGAATGTGGCAGTCGTAGAAAATGGTCCCGAGCTTTCGACTCGACTTTGAATTGTGCGTTTTTAAAGTCAATTAATACCTGAACTCGAAATCCTGTACACCCTGTTCAATACGGTATCAATGCAGTTGTTACTGCACATGGTAACCGATTCACTGGACATCTCGTCATGCCTGGTCAACGTAGAGTACAAATTCACCGACAGAGTTCTCGGAAAACCTCACAAATCGCGGAATACCGAGGATTCGGCCTCCGTCCCAGTGGACTTCGGTTCTTGGAGCGACAGTTGGAAGTGCATACGGAGATGCGCTCAAGCATCGTACAGCTTGTATTCGGCATTCGCAAAGTCTAGATTGAACTTCACACACAGCACGTACATGTACTCAGCTCCTGGCATCTCATTCCATGTCAGTATCGCCTTGTGGTCGAGTTGGCCTCGTCATGCCCCACCCCAATCTCAAATTTGATTGTCCGAAAGTCGTCTCAGATTGGAACGAAGCACGGATCCTGGGGTCCCGCTTGGCGTGGTCCATAACTAAGGTCTGGGCAGAAATGTCGCTTCTGGGGACTATTCGCAGCACCGAACACGTTGATCCATCGACTGACGAGTGACTTGGCGAATGAAGTGCATCGTCCGAATTCACCAATGTATTCCCCGTGTGGAGTGCTCTCAAACTCAATGATGTGGATCTCTCCAGTCACTTCAGAAAATTGGAAAATGTTCGTCGATTTGAAGGGTTCTTAAATTAATTTTGAGATACTATCCGTACTGCCACTTTTAATATTTCATGACACAAATGCGGGACAGTCTGTTGATAAGAAAACTGCCCCATAAAAATGCCCAGCTTATATAAATGACAATATCGCACTGATAGAGCGCAGCTACTAAAATGATAAACTAGTGGCAGAGGGTTTTGCTGTGCTCGCACCTGGCACACGAAATGCTGCTACATTATCAAAAGAACATATGTTCTTCCGCTACAAAAACCAATCTTTTTTTTGGGTATCCAACTTTTCCTCCTTCGGACTTCACTGCTAGGGGCAAGCTGGCTTGATTAGCTTTGGAGATTTAGGCTCGTCGTAGTTCCCCTCCGAGCTGGCTCGGTATCGGAAGCGGGACGCTGTCTGTTTCGTTATATTTCCACATTGAGGCCTTGATCATCGAACTTGCCGCGTCTCGGATCATTCCTGATCTGAGACGGGTGTACACTGTGAAGCACCAGCTTGACCACCTTCCCATTAAACGAATGACCAGATCACTCTTTCCTGCTGCTAGGAGTACGCATGCTCCCCCTATACGTAGTTAATGGGCTGAGTAATCCTTCCTTGGTCGTCCTACGTCGACCGCTGCCGCCTTAATTAGATTGCTCCCGCGTGACTTCTTGACCGTAGCTGCTCTCGAAACTGAGGTAAGGTATGACCCCAACGCCTTTCCTTCGCAAAGCCATTGGGCTCGGATCTGGAGACGCTGCCATTACTGGGCATAACGCATCATTGCTGGATAAGTAGTGTCGGATCGTGGTGCCTTGCGCAACTCGATCTCCTTTATGGGAGTCAAATATCATCTCCCTTGACACGGTCCCTGGGGCTTCAGGTCCAACCTGAATTCCGTTCTTGTCGCGCAGTACCACATTGGTGGCCCTTACGCAATGGACTCTATCCGTTACTGTCAAACGATCGACGCTGATAAATCCCCATTGCTCTGAGTTTCTGTCGAGAACGAAGAAACCTAGTACGATGGATCCCCACATCATTTTATCTTGTTGGCCAGGCTCTTCTAGGATTTCTCGCATTTTGAGCAGCATCGGTGTCGTAACTGGCTGTTTCCTGTCCACTTGACCCTGGGTCCGTTTGTATCCCTTAGCGACCAACTCAATCTCCGAATTATTGTAATTGAGCCTTGCGTTTCGAACGGCTTTGTGTGCGAATGCCATCGCCTCCATTTTCCCGCCAAAGGTCTGGCATTTGTTCCCTCGTCCCGCCTTGTTGTGCACTTCTGAAGCGCACAATGCTGCGAATGATCCAACCATACTAGCTTGTCTTGCTCTGGGAGCACTTCAATCCACACGGGAATCCAAAGTCGTTACAGAACGACTCCCAAAACTTGAAGTTCTTGCTATATTTCCCGTGCGTTCCGGTTGTGATTGAAGCCTGTCTGAGATGATCACGTTCTGCCTCCACTCGTCGGATCTGTGTTGTACCTGGTTCATGACATAAATGTTAGTGGCTGTGTGTACATCGCAATTTCGAGTCAGCTCCATCCTTCGCCCGAAGTATGAGTATTAAAGTATAGCCTGTACTGAACATGGTTCAGTGCACACCGTCGCAGGTCCTGCTGTCCGTCTTCTGACTTATAATGACCAAACCGGTGATCCATTTTCTGCCGTGCACCAGATGCCTGTACTCGTTAGCCGTGGACCCCCTTTATTTACTGCGGTGAAAAGGGCCTGGCAGTACCTTTGCCGTCCTGGACGGGCCCTTCCTCAGTGACTACAAGGCGTCCTCTTAACCGCAT